TGGAAAAATCCTTTTCAGCCCAATAGGAAATCAGACGAAAAGGTAGAACTTCGACAGCTATGAAACAGACTGCTACCCACTACATTGACAAATTTACTGAATTACTCAATAAAACCAACAAGTGTTTGATTATATTTTGCTGGCAAAATCTGGTCGCTTATATTGTATGTGAGTAGTTTACGAGACTATCAGTATTTCCTTAATAAGAATTTAGACTAAATTGATTAATGCGATGTAAAGACGGATGGTTAAATTTTCCTACAATGCTATTGTATGTCACTCGGTCTTGTCTCCCATACGGCAGGTAGACTGCAGTTTCGGTGAGGCCTGCTCATCTCATTTTGGGATGAATCCAATTATCACTCTTTTTATCTCCTTAAGCGAGCTAGACTAAGTGAGTATTGAAGAATTATTGATAGTCTCGTAAACTACTCAAATCTAAAATAAGTAACTTCACTCAACTGAGCGACTTAGGCTGACTTCATTTTTGATCAGACAGTTTTGGCGAACAACTCGGCTGTCGTCTGCAGAAAAGGAATAAGGGTATGTGAAATGTATTCCACATAATGACGTGGATAGACCTGATCGTTTTGATGCTTACTAAAACTGAATATAAGTACTATAATCGGTTGTAACAGCAAATGCTTGATTGCAGCGTCGACAATTCTGCGATGAAATGTGCGCTATGGTCGTCCATTTTTTGGTTTGTTTGTAAAACGAGGGGAAGCAACTTAGGCATCGAGGGTGGGTTGCCTTGGCCTTGTGACTGCCGGATTGTGCGGAAAAGACCTCGGTTCACCGTTTTGCGAAACCGATCCACTCTTGCTGGGCTTTCTTTTGTCATGTGATGTGGACATCATCCAGCAAAATGGCTGAACCAAACATGTGTTTTGGGGGAGATTTTCCTAAAGAATTCCCCTCACACCCGCCCTTTGAAGTGCACTGAAAGGTACCCTTTTCTCATTATACTACAGAGAGTCTTCGAAACTCAGCTGCTCTTCATACCGAAAATGCCTGACCTGCCCTGTAAGTCACATGTACACACGTGGCTGTGTACCACGACCCACTTTCGATCGCGGTTCGGGGCGCCGGCGAGATCCGAGCGAGGTCGAGATTGAAGTCATGGGGCCTACTCACATCATAGAGGAGCCAGACTCCACCGTTAGTATGTGAATCGCCTTAGTCGACCTGGGATAAATCGGCTCTTGTTCAAGAAGAACTTGCTGTTTTGAAGCACACTCATACAGCCTGCTGCCGGACAGGAAGTCCCTTCCGTGGCAAGTTTAGGGTTCAGTCAGAGGACATACAGACTAGGCTCTAATGCCATTTGCCAGATTCTACCTCGTCAATTTAAGGCAGTCCTATGACATCATTCCTTCCCATGCCTCACTTGGAGACGGCACTTTTCGGCAATTATGCGGCTGACAGCATGAGGAGTGAAGCCAATAATGACTCTCTCGCTGCCAAAATCCATAGCGGAGATTTCAGGGTGTGGACAGAGCAAAGACCATTATCACACACGTACGGGCGCCTCTTCCCTTCGGCTCGTCTGCTTATCTTTTGGCAACCTCTTCCGACAAATATGCGTGCTTGCATCACTATCCGTTTCGCTTTGTTTTATCTATTTTTAATTTGATTCCATGTTAATGGATGAATTTCATTTAATTTATTTGCGTTTGTTGCAACCGGCTTCATTTTGCTCACGAGACCACCAGCCCACTGTGTTTCTGCCTCGCCTGTACCACGTGGCTGCGGGGTTGGGAAATTCCCAGTGACCTTGAAAATGGACACCGCCTGCCTACATTCAGCTAATCGATGGCTGCATATTTTTAGCCCTAGATACAGTTGCCCCACTGTCTACATGACCTGGCGTAGTCGGGCTGGCAGGTTGTTCGGTTGTTCGGTTGTTCCGCGATAGGACGACATGTCGGCCCGTGACAAGACGCTATCGGCCCTTGTCCTCCTCGCAGGCCCGATACCATCCAATCTCAGATAGCTTAGCGCCAAGTGATAATTGGGAGTATTCTATTTTCGCATCGAAGCCTCCCAGAGGGTTTTCTCATCCCGACCGGACTGCAATACCAGCATCATCATCGTAAGCACCCTCAGCCCCATCGGCTGAGACTACACTCTACCACTCGGCCGGTGCCGGTGGGTAGCACGGCAGGTGTGAATTGCGAGGTAGGCTAAGCCTCACACAAATCACACTTTTTAGATTAGGTTTGGCAGTGAGACAAACATGTGCCTGCTGAGATAATACACAACGCTACTCATAGTTACTTTGAGTAGGCCTCGACATGTTCACTCTCTCCTTACCTGGTTTCGAATCCAGTCGAGGGTATTGACGAGACGATAAAGTCTGCTTTCGGGAACAAGTCTTAGTGAATTTCAATGGCCTCGTGGGCCTATTCATTTTATCATGGAAAAACCACTCCATCAGTTCTTTAGTCACCTTAAACGACATATGCTGACTGAGATTTCCTTCCAGAAGTACCGATAATTTCGAGACATACAAGTCACCTGAGTTAACGGGCTCCGCAAGGTTCCGCTCGCCAGTCGTCTATTACTCAGTACGGACAGACGGACAGACGGACAACCAGCTAGACACGGACTGACACAAGCGAAGAAGATGCCCGGCAAAAATGCAGGTTGTGGCAAATATTTAGACAAAATGCATCCCAACTACCGTTCATGGAGAAGGCAGCAAATTGAAAGCTAACAAGCTACAGCAGCCGTGACCGGCATCTTCAGCAAGAGGGTCTTAAGTGAATAGTCCGGGCTTGTGTACCGATATGGCGTATCAGCTCCGAGGATCGTTGGGGCATCCATCGTCGACTCGAGTGGCACAGTTTGCCTCCACGGAGAATTCGACCCACCTTGAATGCTGGGGCCAGTGCGTGTGGGCAGATCGTAGAGAGCCAAGAATGGAGTAGCAACAACATCCGTTTCATCTGGCAGCGGAGGAGAAACAAGAAAGAGGAGAATGATATGACGAAGGAAGAGGAGGAAGTGGAGGAATGGAAGGCGGAGAAGAAAGAGAAAGAAGAAGAGCAGGGAGACAGGAGAGAGAAGGAGGAATAAGAGAATAAGGACGAGAGAGAGAGAGGAATAGAGGAGGACCACGACGATGAGATGTTTAAGTCTATGTTTGAGGTCCTCAGAAGAGCTTAGCTGCTCATTTTCTACATTTGAAGAAGATCAAGTAAGGGGCAAATCGGAAATTGGAGTGTGTATTTTTCTGAGTGCAATTGAGGGATTACGCTCGCCGCTGCGTAGTCGAGAGCTCAAGGCCCGTCCGGCATGGAGGAGCCTTCCTCGGGAGTCTGGGCCATCCTGCGTTCTGCTAAAAGAGTCATAAAATCCGAACCCCGACATCTCAGTCAAACTCTTTAGCCTTGCCGTGCAAATGGCCGCAGTTTCGACTGTCAGTTTGTGATGAAGGGTTTCGTGGGCCAGTCGCAAGAGAAGACGATGATGCAGTCTCCTGACTTCGCTTTCAAGTAATACTTCTTTGGCACTGGCCTAAGTCTTCCCTCACGACACGCCTCATCAGAGCTGGAATCCGTCAGCAACTTCGGGCTAACAACCAGTCAGGCAATCTCACCGACTATATAGAATGATAAAATTAATTAGGCTACATGCCTAGTCATCCGTGAGTACATTTCCTCACATTGTGAGGTTATGAAACTCAAGTCCATGAGTTGACGACCTTACTAACTCGGCCAGACGCAGCATCACGATGGCAGGATAACGGATACAAGTCAAATTTTGCTTTAAAACTTTCTGTAAAGAGATTGCCGACTTTCAAATAGCCCTCAGACTAGTGCAGACTGAAGAAAATCTGCCGGCAAATTCTGGTCAAATCGCAATTGGCGGATGTATGGCTTTTCTTGCAAGAGACGAGAAGGTAGAGAACTTTAATTCGGCTTGATTATCAAAGCGAATTATTATATTATGTTATCGTATATCTTATTAGGGGTTGTTAATAGTATATTGTTATTATTACTGAATTAGCACAACTTATTGAATTTTGATTTAATACGGAAAAATTGGATTACGCAAAGTTTGCGAATTAAGGTGAAAAAACAAATCCTTGACAGCTTGGACAATGTGGATACCGGAGAATGTTGTGTCGAGGACCGTGAGTAAAGCAGTCGCCATACCATCGAGGCCTTCCTATCTTCAAGTGACTATTGTGTTGACTTTAGTTCTGTGTTAAGTGCCTGAAGAAAAGACTTGTAGATCAATCTCATCTTGTTGCTCTCCGAAACGAGGGAGGAAGTCTCGTGGACTGCGTCGACATGAATATCTTATAAAAGCCAAACGACTGCAGTACAACGAGATTCATCCGTCTCATCTGGTGAGATCGACCAACGAATCTCTTCTTTATGCACTTTCATACGAAATGAAGGTCCCTCTAACAAGATCGGGTGAGATCGACCAACGAATCTCTTCTTCATGCACTTTCATACGAAATGAAGGTCCCTCTAACAATAATTCTGGTGAGATCGACCAACGAATCTCTTCTTCATGCACTTTCATACGAAATGAAGGTCCCCCTAACAATGTCATCTCAGGAGATTCATCGAAACCAACTTTCTCTTCGTATCTATAATAATATTTAGTTGGCCTTCCCTCGGTTCGAGAGAAAACTGGCCGAACTTTATTTCGTCATATAAGATTTGGATCCTATTCATACAAAAGCACCAAGACAACACCAAATGAAGAGGACTAATCTGCTCTTCCTTGCCGGCTGCACACACTCACAACTAGAAAGTAAATGACGGAATTGTTGCATTAATCAACTCAACCAGACCTACTTTCAGGATTACGCAATACGCAATTTTTCTTCCGCTTAAACCTCGATGACCCTAGACATAGACGCAACACCCTGTTCAAATCACACAGATTTATGATTGGCCCTTGTCCAATCTGAACTGCATACATACTCTAGTAACCAGGCTCACAAACACATACACACTTTCAAACATGAAGTAACTCAAAATAGACTGACCAAATCAGCTTATTTATTGTATGCATTTATCTGTTTTGTTCTTCTTTAGTTAAAAGGATATTTAGCACGCATGGGAAAACTGATCGGTCCTTATTGACTCGGTGTTGACTTGAAGAATGTGTAAGAT